GTCTGAGGTGAGCATGTCTGTGAATCCTCTCCTCAAACTGTACTTGTTGGCAGGAATTTGTAAAGAAACTTGCTCTGCTCTCATAGAGCAAAGGCCTTTGTTTTCTTGATTTAGATTCAAAACCAGCTGGAGTCCTTAACAACCAGGAACACAGTCTGTCCCATTTCAGAGTCACTTACTGGAGGTGGGGAAGAAATGGGGAAGTTTCACTTTCTAAACTTCGTCTGAACCTGAAGACAATTCTTCTGAAATTATGATTTAGAAAACAGAACATCCAAATTAAACAAAACTGTTAAAAGCCAAAACGAACAGCTGAAAAGCCCCTTTTGTTTATAGAAGTAATCAAATGAAAATAATTTCATTTGATCTCTCACCTTGCTTTATACACATTTATTGCACTAGAACATGTGCCTTCTATATAAAAAAGAGGCTGTAGAAAACCACAAGATTGTAAATACTAGTTTTATGATTTGTTTGCAATTATATTTAACATTAACAGTGTTTTGTTTTTACAAAGCAGTTGAAATTTAAAAAAAAAAAAAACAAAACAAAAAAGAAATAGCAAGAAAGCCCCCATCTGCTGTCTAGCATCAGTAATCCTCACTGGTTTGTTTACCATTTATAAGGAAAACATCATTCAAGGTAGCTTGTCACAGAGACTCTTCTGCAGTAACTGGCCTTTGGTGCAAATCCCTGCCATTTGTCAGTTCAGATGTTTTTTTTCTTAAAGCCCCTCTGCCTAAAATTCAAGGTATCTGCCAATGATAATCTTCTTCCCCTCCCTCTGAAGTCCTTTCCAGACAAACACAGCAGATCTGGTAACACAGCTCTGAGGGTGGTAACTATCCTCATTTTACAGAGGGAAACTGAGCATGGATAATTAAATTTGCCTGAGGCCAGTCTTTTGCCTAACCAGCCACAGAACCCAGATCTCACAACCTCAGGTGATTCACCTTGGCTGGAGACTAAGGCTTCCTCTCTAGGGAAGGGTGAAAATTAAATGATTGCACCAAAATTGTCTCTCTCTTCACCCTCTCTAAGAGGACCAGGAATTTTTCGTGTCGGATCAGTTTCTGTGTTGCAATTTGGAAGCAGCATAGATCTGGTTCTGAGTTCAGCCCTGCACTAAGCCCAACCCCAAGGGAGTCCCTGTGACAGGCAGCCTGTAGGCAGGCAGACAGTGGTACAATCAAGCCTGGGGGTGATGGAGACACCAGGGAGGTTACCCTCATCCTCCCGCCGAGGGGCCTCGCCGGCCTGGCCGCCAGGAGCACGTCCCACCTCCTTCTCCAGACAGAGGGTTGTAGCCTAGGAGTGCAGAGGAGAAACCCACCATGTTAACATTCACCCTCCACAGGCCTTCTCCAGCACACACAGAACGCCAAAAATAAACTGCACAATAATTTACACCTTGTTTATACTTACTTGATAAGCAAAAACTTCAGGAAAATGAAAGCAGAGGAAATATCCAGACTTGAGGTTTATTTTTGTAGAGCTAGGACTAAAAGCCACTGCAAAAAACTCCTGGTTTAATTTGATCAGTTCCAATTCAATTAAATTGAAATCAATTATCTTTTGATTTCTCTAAGTCAGTCCTAAAGCATTAATGCTGCTCTGCAGAGTAAAGAGCAGTAACAGTAACTCCTATAGTCAACTCCCTAACCATGTGTCATTTTCCAAGAGTCCTAATAGTCAGGGACTTAATCTTTTATTCCAGTCCTGCAAGGAAGGAATACTCTGAAAGTCAAAAGGTAAATCCACTCATTGCTCCTGTAAATTCTTTTTGTAAAATCTGGAGTCACCAGCCCTGGAGGGGTTCAAAAAACATGTGGACGTGGTACTTCAGGACACGGTAGTGTTGGGCTGACAGCTGGACTTGATGATCTCAGAAGTCTTGTCCAACCTTAATGATTCTATGATTCTATAGGCAACTTTATTTTACAAGTACATACTCAGAATGATGCAACATGGCAAACACCCTCAGTGTGTTCTGTGCATGCCAAAGAAAAACAAAACTGAAAAATCTCATGGCGTTGCTAACCAAGCAGGTTTCACAGCAACCTGTCCCACTGAAACTTGAAGCATCACCTCCATCTTTCAAGTTTGTTTTTCTCAGACTAGCCAAGTTCTGCTTTTTGGCTTAATTCAGCCACTGAACAGTGCAGGTGGTTCTTTCACTTCATGCTGACCTACCTCATGAGATGATCAGAGACCTGTAATCTTCTGCTTAAGAGAAGATTTTGCTTAGGATGGAAGTAGGGCAGGTAGCCTCAACCCAGCTGCCCTGATCCTTGTCCTCAGCAGAGCTCCTACCCACACATCCCTCATCCCCCAGAGTGGTGAACACCCCATGCAAGAGCCAGGGGAGACACCTGACAGTATCAGAGACTACACTGCACTCATGTTAAACAACATAAGGTGAATCAATCCACCTGTTCCTTCAGCTGTTGTCAACAGCTGACAGTAAAAATATTCAAAGCAGAAATTTCAGCACTGCACTGTTATTGAGGTTTAATATGTTTAATTAAGAATCTTCAGGTTTCATACTTTTAATCAAGTGCCTTACTCAGTGCTGCACCCCAAGTGGGTTTCCCTTTTAGTCTGAGGCAGTCTAGATGATCCCCTCTGCTACAGAAACCTATAATTAAACTGTTTTACCCAAATGAATGCTTGCAGGCACAGCACAGGCTGTTTGGCCAGCTAGGAGACCAGCTGCCTGGCCAAAATACTGCAGCAATCCTAACGTGGCCTACATCAAGACAATTTCAACAGCTGACAGTGAGTTTAGTGATGAGGCCCTCTGGCAGTTTGTGAGGGTTGATAACAATTTATACACCTGCAGGATTTATATCTTCAATAGGTCAATTACGGTGGTATCTGATAAACAAGGTCACATTTTGCATAATTAAATCTTTTATCTGCCTGAATCTACATAACACAAAGGAAAATATCCTCTTCCTGCTTTTAGTTAGCACCACAGGTGGTTGAAAGGATTTCATACTTACCACCTCCTCGTAAGGGCTTTTTGTTTGGTTTAGATTTTGGGACTGCTGATGAGGTGGAGGCACCAGATTCTACTTCTTGCTGTTCACAAAAAAAAACCCAAAAAGTTACTTAGAATTTCATCAGCGTGAATTTCAGCTAATCTAATCACATAAACCTAACAGCAGGCTGATGAATGTTGTTACCTGATTCAGCTTCAGGTTTCCTTTGTAGCTTTTTCCTTCTTGCATACTCTCCCACATGGCGATCTTCTGCCTTCGCTTCTCTTCTTCAAGCTGAGGAACAAATCCAGGATATGAAAGACCCAGACTAGACCTAATGGAATTGCCAGTGGTACAGAAACAGCCACAAACAGGCTCATCAAAATCCAAGGCATCTGTCTTTATCTAATGCAGTATCTCTGAGCTTATGGAAGCATTTGTTTTAAATGCCTTCCCAGCCACAGAACAGCCACCGCTACTCCACGTATAACAGGCTGCATCTGCAACTTCTTTTGACCACCTCTTGAAAGTCACAGAGAACCAAGTGGCAAGCTTAAATCCAGAGTTTGTAAAAAGTACTAAGTAAAGAATATCCCACGTGACAGTAATTTAATGCACAATGCAGAGTTCTACAGAAAAAAAATGTGGTTTTCAAATGAACAAGACAGCCAGCTACCTATTTACATCCCAATATACATTATCAACAGTTCTGCCAGCTCTCTTCTAAAACAATTTATCCACAAAACCAAATAAATTAATGGCTAAGAGATTACTGCCTTCTCAACAAAAGGAAACAAGGAAGCTACTCCATGCAGTTAAAGAAAGCAAAGCTCCCCAAGTCCAAGCACATGAGACCTGGACTTTCTACATAGTGGCTATTTTCTTCCACAATATCTTTCCAGTTGTTTTTAACTGCCAGTATTTCTTGAAGCATCAGCTACAAACCCAGGGCTGAAGATATCTGACTGAAAAAATACAGATAGAAGAGCTAGGATTAATGAGGAACACTATTGCTATGCTGGTCACATCCACTTTTCCACACTGCCTCTCACAGCAGTGCACTATTCCTCATTACCTCAAGCTGTAGTTCAAGCCATCAAAAGGCAGCAATGCTGAGCTACATTTCTAAGAACTTATATTTGCCATTAGGAACAGAGAACACACATGTGCAGCAGTACAGTTAATCCAAACTCCCATAAATCCCCTCATTGTGCAAATAACTGAGTTTTTATCTGTAAAATACAAAATAAAATGATCAGGCCCACGCTGTGAGACACTGAGAAGCAACTGCCACCCTAGTATTTGAGACAAATTGAGGAGTTAAAGAAATGTTTGCTGGTTACCTGTCTTTGCTTTTCTTTGTATCTCTCTGCTTGTGCATTCAGCTCCTCTTGCATCCTGAGGCGAGCTGCTGCCAAAGCTTCCTGCCTTCTTACCACCACGTCAGGTTCTAGGGAATGGGGAAAGAGGTTACAAAGCTATTCAGAAGGAATTGTAGATGATCTCCTCAAAGAACTGTCATAAGGCAAGGCTCACACCTCTCCCTGCAGCTGTTCTGCAGAAAATCACAGCTCCAGTTCAGTTCCCAGCTAATCTTTTACAGTAATTTCTATACTGACTTAAATTTAGTAATATTCATTAAAGCAATTGCTGTAAAAATAAGGACACTGATGTAATGAACCCATAAAAAATTAAAATTAACACTTCTAGGATACTTGCTTCTATTTCTGAAGAACTTGTTTGGTACAAATAATTTCAGAAATATCACCCATGCTTCACAGGGATTCCATTTTTACCCAGAGAACTTATGTTATGCAGAAGCATGAGGCAACTGGCCTGCACTCACTCCTACTCCTCCTGGCAACTGAGCCTGGTTGTTCCCCTCCAGCAGACTGAACACGCTCCACCAGCAGAGACGTGACTTACAAACACCACAGATATCTCAAGAGAAAACTGGCAGTCTCAGAAAATCTACATTGAGTCACTGCTTCTCTTCAAGACTGGCCCTCAGAAGAATTCAGGAGAAAAATTATACCCAAACAAAAGCAAATATTGCTCTCTTTTTATCCCAGCAGCTGATGCATCTCCACGTTTGTTTGTCTCCTGACACATTTGCTACCATCCAGCGATGAGTATGCAAAAGAAATTTCATTCCTTTCAGTGATTTCACTTTACAGTCAGTTTTGGCAATTAAATCAAGATTTAATGAGCATTACAAAAGAACACCAGTAGGATCAGAGCATGTGACTGATATTTTCTGGGCCCCCATGTACTGCCATGCCAACGTGCCAAAGGGAACGGTGCCAAGCAGTTTTTGGTTTGGCAGCTATCTAAGCACAGCCTGTGCTTCACAGCACTGAGTCTTCAAAGGAGGCAGGATTCTGCCCGTGTAACATTTACAACCTGTGCCACACTTCAGAAGGTAACACGAGAGGCAGTTACACCCCAAATGTACACAATTCTACCAGTGCAGGAACTGTGAAGGAATAGTTGAAAGGAGAAATGATGAATATTAATAAAAAATTGAATATTAATCAAAAGATTTCCCCCCCTGTATTTAGATTTGGATGTTTTAGTTTTGTTTGGTAAGTCTAAAAGTTACTTGACAACTGACCACAGCTAATTTTAATCACCATCCTCTCAGCTCCTGTGCTATCAAAGACTGGCTACTCCCTTGTTCTGCAACGCCCTGAGCCTCTACTACCAACCACATCACTTTGGGGGACAGTCCTTCTTTGGCAATCTTTAAAAACACTTCTTTCAGTTCAACTTTTCCCCAGAGATCTCTCCAGTAAGAGACAACGTGTATGCTTCTGTGTGCCTGAACAGTTACCCTGAGTGTAGCAACAGAACAACAAGGAACAGCTTCAAACTAGATATTAGACTAGATATTAAGAAGGAATTTTTAACTGTGAGGGTGGTGAGAAACCGGCAGAGGTTGCCCAGGGAAGCTGTGGGTGCTCCATCCCTGGAAATGTTCAAGGCCAGGCTGTCTGGGGCATTGAGCAACCTGCTCTAGTGGGAGGTGTCCCTGCCCAGGGCAGGAAGTTGGAACTAGATGATCTTCCCGGGGCCTTCCAATCCAACCCAAACCGTTCCGTGGTTCTATCTCTCGCCATTAAAACCCCTCCGAACTGCCTCTTCGGGGGTGTTATTAAACACAGATTATTGCGTGTGGCCCTGAGCAGCCGTCAGACACCCCACCACGGAGGGAGT